GGTGATGACAACGAAGGTCCAGGAAGCGCATGAAACCAAGGTTAACAATGAAAAAGTGGCAAAAGCGTAAAAAGCCGTAGAGTCAATACCAACGTGAGGTCGTTGACGAACTGGCGGTGAAGGAGAGTCTGAGGGAACCCTAAATCCTCAACCTGATTGTCCCGAATCAGTCTCAGGTGTGCAGGACTGCAGCAGGGATGATGGCTCCGCCCAGGGGTGGAGACCAAGGAACTCAGGTGCCTGATAGCACTTTCCAGTCGAGTCTCCAGATCCTGACACGGACAGTACACAAGAGCGGTGAACAAGATAAGGGCAGAGTGGAGTGTGTAGAGATGGGTGTCACGTGTGATTTGTTACAAAGCAGCAAGAATGAAAGAGTACGTTTAGAAGATTGTAGCGAAACCTGGTCTACATGGTGAGTGGTTTGGAGACAGTGACACTGACAAAAAGACACGAGGCCGAGCTGGAGGTGACAGAGCTGAAGATGCTAAGGTTTTCTGATGCTAGAGATAGAGCGAGCTGGAATAAGATGTTCCCCCGTGGCAACCCCTAACAGAAACAGCCGAAAGAAGACGAGGAAGTGGGAGGTGTTGTTTTTGTTCTGCTAACATGTCATGAAAGCACACGTTATTTATCTCTCAGTTGTCACATCCTCTCCTTCTCATCCGTCCTCTTTTCTGCTCTAGAAGCTTCGCCAGACCCTCTGGGAACGATCCTGGGTGGCGTGATGAACGGTGACCCTGGGAGTCCCTCTGACGACGAAGATCTCCATCAGCTCTCCTCGTCTTTAGGTGCCACATGTGGACCTTCTCGCATGGGTTCTGATGAGGGCGCCTTATATGTTAATGGTTCATGTTACTATGGCGATGACAGTGTGTGGCAGGAGCCTGGGCAAGTGGGAGAGGTGAATCTGCTTCCTGTGGCTCTTGGCAGCTTCACCCAAAGGCAGGTGTCACTTAATGACTACCTAGATTCCCTCGAAGGTCCCAGGAGCATTGGGGACCGACCTGCTGCAGGGCCGTTACCAAAGCTCAGCTCCAGCTTTCCCACAGACACACGGCTCAGTGCCATGCTACACATCGACTCAGATGAGGATGAGGAAGGAGCTGGGCAGCACTGGGATCAATCGCTGGAAACAAAGACACAGCAGAATACCAACTCAGCTACACCTGAGTCTCCACAGGGGAGCAGTGGTTCAAAAGGCGAGTCACAGGGCTCATGTGAGGCAGCGCCTGGAGTTCAGGCCACGGGAGAGGCAGGTTCTTCTGCTGGTGCTCAGTCTGGAGCCAACGCTGCAGGGCCTGAAGCTGGAGCAGGAGCACAAGAAGGTGCTGCTGCACTCCCAATACAGACACGACAATCAGCAGATAGAACTGAAGAAGCTGCCAGAGCAATGGCTGCACAGGCTGTTGGAGAAACTGCTACAGCTTCCAACTCATCTCAGGTATCAAGGGCTGAGGCAGCTGAAGTCAGATCTGGAGACGCTCCAGGGGAATGTCCAAGTCAGGAGCAGAGCATCAGGATGGGGAAAAACCCAGAAGTACACTGCAATCCCTCACTTGGTCCTCTTTCACCCATTCAGGTGAGGCTATGACTTTAGGAGCATCATCCCTCTTTAATATAACTATAGATTATCAATAGTTTATTGCTGACAATCACTGTCATCTTGACCAGAGCTTTGACCAAGCCTCACCCCTGCATGTTTCCTCTCTCATTTCTTTCAGGAAGTGAGAACAAGAAAAGCAGTTGTTCCAAAGGCAGAGGAGGAACCGGGGGAGTCGTCGAGCAGTGAGGCAAATGGGCCGGCACCACCTTCACTGTCCACCTGCGTGGCTGAGCAAGGAAGAAGCACGACGTCTAAAGCTGGTAGGTTCTGCTAAAGGCACTGAAAAGAATTTCAAACACGATTTCATTTTTTATTACATAAAGTATACAAAAAGAAACAGAAAAAATACAGGAGTACCAAATACATTCAAAGGACTCCTTTTGTTTTCACTCATAGTTTTTCATTTGATTGTGCAAATCTCCGGTTGCTTTTTATACTCTCAGTTTAGTCTTTAGGTTTTATAGTTATAAGCAGAGATGGGCAGTAACGTGTTACTGTAATTCGATTACTTTTTTCAAGTAACGAGTAAAGTAAGGGATTACTATTGCAAAAACGGTAATTAGATTACCGTTACTTTCCCGTAGGAACGCTGCGTTA